AAAAATATGTGGCATTTTATATAATAGAGTATTATTCAGATATAAATAATGATAAACTCGAAGCCTTTATATTTAAGTGCATGCCACATGAAGTTATATTCATAAGTGAAATAAGTCAGACCCACATGTGTAAATATCATACAGTCTCCCTAGTATAAGAGCTCAAAAGAAGAAATAAAAATAGAAAGGTATAACACAATTAAAAGGAATGTGAGAGCTTGAGCATTAGACAATGAAGAGAGAGCAAAGGAAAAAAGCTAGGAAACATGACAGGTGCAAAGTCAAACATTTATATGTACAAGATGGGTAAGGCAACGATCCTGAGAATCTTCAGCAGTTTTTTGAAACTAGCAATTAATTGGTAGGATTCTCATCCTGACTAACTATATATGCTGATAACTGTGAACTAAGCAACTGCACTGAAGATAGAAATGTGTAATAGTAGGGTCATGCTTGGAGTGCCTGTCATTCTGATCTTCTGAATACGTGCTACTTGTCATGACACGCTGCTTGCTGCCGTGCTGTCTCTCAGGTAGATGTTTGTTTAAAAAGGAAGGGGGTGGTGAATGAAGGCAAGAGACAGAAAAAGGGTTGTTGTGGGACTTTCCTGCTATAATTCTGTATATGGTTAGATTTCTAAACTTCTGTGTAAAAATATGTAATTGTTTATTCCTATTTTTTAAATATACTTTTATTTTTAATTTTTTTCTTCATATTCTGTATGGATTTAAAGTTTAACATATCAATGCTTGATGAAAAATACCTGTTTCATGTCAAGCCTAAGATGTTTGATATTCAGAGAGATAGGGAGGTTAAGTGCATCTGCCTAGATTGTAGGGTAATAACAATAAGCTTCTCTTCTGGAGGCTTAATAACCTAGGTTTCAGACCAAAAATTAGAGAAAAAGCAGGACTGCAAGGACAGCCAACATTTTGGCTGTAGCCTTTCACAGTCAGTGAAGTCTCAGGACATAGGAGAACCTGTACTGTAACATCATGTAACTCAGTTGTGTCCCAAATTTTCTGATCAAGAAGATTATGGGGCCACAGAGGAAATTGATTAATGATGTAGAGTGTGCCTAAGGAGCGTCACATGGAGAGAAAACATTTTCTCAGGCTTTCACAGAGAGCAAATTGGTCAAGCAATGGCTGTGACTCATCCACATGGCTAACACTGACAAAGGATCTACAAACTGCTCTACAGGGTTTTAGGGTAAATCTGGAGGAGATTTGACTGACCTTATCAGATACAAAAGTTATATTTCTGTTATATAGGTCCTGCTTTGTCTTGATCTTAAGCATCCAGTAGAAAATTATAAAAACAGTATGAAAAGTAAAGCCATATCAATATGCTGAGCTGTAAAAGGCTCAAATGTACAACTTCTGACATTGCCAGTCTTATGGAAAACCCTCTACTATTTTGGACTACTGGACTACATTGGAATATTTTGCTGACTTCATGCAGCTATAATATTTAAATGACAACGGAATACCATTCTGTGACAAAACTAAACAAAAAAGGGTGTACAAATGAATGACCATTTTGTATCTGTATACTCAAAATAGGATAGATATACAGCAACATTCTCTTAATTCAATGAATAGAGAGATTTGTTCTAATAGTGTTTATGGACAGGATATCATGTCTGCATCTTGTACTATGAATAACCACTAAGATAACAATATGCAATGTGTTAATTATTGAAACTGTCCTACTAATCGGATTTGAAACTGTGTCAATGTTATTTGTTTCTCAATAAAATTATTGAAAAAAATAAACATAAAGCCTTTGAGTTCATCATTCTTTATAGCTGAGTAATACTCCATTGCATAAAAATACCACATCTTTTTCATCCATTCCTCAGGTGATGGGCATCTTGGTTTTTTCCAAGATTTGGCTATCACAAATTGTGCTGCTATAAACAAAGGTACACATTTATCTCTATGATGTGATGTTTTCAGTTCCTCTGGGAAAATTCCCAGTTGGGGGAATAGCTGGTTTGAATGAGATTTCCAGTCCTAGTTTTTTAAGGAGTCTCCATACTAATTTTCACAATTGTTGCACCAGTCTACCTTTTCACCAGCATTGGAGAAGATTTCCACATGTGAAAATATTGTATAGTCTCCCTAGTGTATGAACTCAAAAGAAGAAATAAAAATAGTAAGGTAAAACACAAAAGGAAAGTGAGAATTTATGGATTAAACAATGAAGAGAGGGCAAAGAGAAAAGCTGGGAAACATGACAGGGGCAAAGCCATACATTTATATGCACAACATAGTTAAGGCAATGATCCTGAGAATCTTCAGCAGGTTTTTGAAACTAGCAGTTAATTGGTAGGACTCTCACCCTGACTCACTCTATATGCTGATACCTGTGAACTGAGTAAGTGCACTGAAGATAGTGTAATAGTAGGGTCATGCTTGGAATGCTTGTCATTCTGGTCTCCTAAATATGTACTGCTTGTCATGTCATATCAATTACTGCTATACTGTCTCTCAAGTAAATGTTTGTTTCAAAAAAAAGGGTGAACAAAAGAGGTAATCATGTCACCCTAAGATCCCCCACCCAAAAACAAGAAAAAAAAGAAAAAGAAAAATTTTCCCACTCTATCTTGGCATTGGAAAGAACTCCATCATTAGGCACAATTTAACTCTCTAGACATTCCTTGCACTCTCTTTTCCAAACTCTTCTGGTGAAATAGATTTTGCTTTTCACCATATTCCAAGAAGGTGCTATTGTATTGTTAGTCAGGTTTATCTTACACTCAATTTCCTCTTCATGACTTTTTCCCAACCCAATCCCTTGACATCAATGAAGTCCTATCCATCTTTCAAAATCAGTCTCAAATTTCTTCTTTGTTAACTCTTCCCAGGGGATTCCAAACTGCTCATCTTTTTTTGGTCTGTTTTAGTCATCTGACAAGCAATCATGCATTGATTGCCTTATGACACCAAGGAAAACTTTATCTTCAGTATAGTCATTCAACTTTGTCTTCTTCTGTGTGTATCTTCTTTCCCCAACTACTTAAAAGCTCATTGAGTTCAGAAGTTATGATTTCAACTTTCTAAGAAATAGTACACACTTAGTAGGGGTTATCTCAATTATATGTATTGAACAGTTTCCAAATGATTGTCCAATTACTCTGACACTACTTTAGTAGACTACTAAAGCCATGATTAATCATTCCTTATCCCATTTGTGAGGCATTTATTGTGACAGAGGATAAAGGACACTGTTAATTCATATGTGAGAGAAAGCATATATGGCTGTTTAAGCTTCAAGCAAGATGAAATGCTAAGATGCTGGTGGTCAGACATTTCTCTACAGCTAGAAGTGTTCCTTAATAGATTTAAATCCCTTAAGCAGCTCCACAAAGATGTGACTACTCCCTACTCTTCTGAGAGAATAAAGAAACAGATTAATTTTTTCCTCTCCATCATTAAGTAGTCAATACCTAAATGTTTAGTACAGTGTAATCAAGAATGGCTTATCAATTCTCTGATAAATTTCTCTAGAATTATTTGCATCCCTGGACTAATAATTAAAATAGAAAATGCCCTACATGCCATTTATGGCCAATTGAAAATGTTGCATAATTTTTAAGAAGCATTACAATTTAAATAGAGGTAATCCAAGGGAAGTAAAGGGATTCCTTCATGGGGTTGAAAGTGAAAGAGGAGCATAGAATTTAAAACTATTTTTGGAGTACCTCTAATGTATCACAGTGGCCTCATTGCTGGGGCAAGCATGTGCTCCTCCCAGGAAAGGAAGATAACTAGCAAAAGAATGAAATGCTAAGTAGTAAGTCTTATGAATGAACATTATTAAATACTAAGCAAAGAGAGTATGCAAGAGGACTTAGTGATGTATTGGGAGGACCCAGGTTAACCAGCTTGTCATGTTCCCCATTACAGCCATACAGAGTACAATTGGCCAAAAGGCTGCTATGTTCTAAGGGGAATAGAAAGAGATTGTTCTTAATGTCATGGCAGTATTTTTCTTTCTCTATCCCACTATTACAGAGCCATATGCTGAAGTGCTTCATCTCAAATGAAGCAATCCTCTTCCCTTTGTTAGTTATTTAAGACATCAAGATCTTTTAAAGGCTATATTCATCTTTCTCTTTATCTCGAAAGAACTTTTCATTAGGATGAACCATGTATATTCCCTCTCAAAAATCTGAATTCAAGATTGCCCTCAGTTGTATTTATTCATTCTGAAATATTTGCTGAGCTTCTTCTATGTGCCAGACATTGTTCTAGGTAAATAAGTGACATCAGTCTCTTTCCCCTTAGAACTTCCATAATAAAACTCTGCTGCATATACAGAAGAGAAGGCTGAGAGTGTGTTCTAGAACTTAAATAGTGGCCACACATGTTTTTGCAGGGAGTAATGGCTAAAGATCTGATATTTCCAGGGAGAAAATAACCATGATAATCTTTGGTGAAAACTGCCCCTTATTTTTCTCTATATGTTTCTGTTGTGGTAGAAAACAGACAGGCAAAGGTTGTGTAGTGTTTAAGGACATAAGCTCTGAGATCACATAGCTTGGGTCTAAATCCTGGTTTTGCTACTGAGTAGATATTTCATTTTGGTTTGGTTCTCTCCTCTTTCTGAATCTCAGTTTTCTTAACTGTTACTACAATCATTTATTAAACCCAAGTTAAAACTCCTTTTGCAGCAATCCTACATAAGAGGACCTAAGTTAGCTGCTCCCATACCTCCTTAATGCCTCATTCACCAGACATACAGTGACATATACACAGCAAGTAGATGTATACAGAGGTTTCTAGACCATATAATCACCAGAGTATAAGTCTAAGAATTGTTGATTGTTCATAAATAGTTCTAAATAGATTTCCTAAAGTTGTCTATCTACAGATTCTGACCAGATAGATGAACTTGCCTCCATTTTATTATTTTTCTGTTTGAATCATGGCTTAATTAATGAACTCAATTGAGTACTTATGAGAGTTGTGTGGATTTTCTATTTCTCTTACCTTGTAAATTTCTCCCTGTTGGACAGTTTTTATGATGTTAATCCATTCTTCCATGTCTTTCCTGTTGGATGCAGCCAGGGTGACTTTTCGTTGTGGAGTGATAAGCTAAACAAAAAGTGACACTATTAGGTGGTTCTGATTTCACACAACCTCGCTGACCCCTCAATTGTGTTGATAAGCTCTCTAAGGGGTAGACATATCTACCAGGCCCAATGCAAGCTGCTTCTTCCATGCAAGACACAGATCCCCATAGCCACTCACAAATCCTTAGATGTCCACACAAAGCAATAATAAAGATAATAGTAATATTAAGACTGTAATGGCATTTCCTATGTCTCAAGAGTCATTCTAAAGTACTTTAAGTATATTTCTTTTGATCTGCATTACATCTCTATAAGATAGGCATTGATACTTTTCTCATTTTGTACGACAATTTTGCAAGAGTCTGTCAATTGTGCTCAGCGCAAGAATCCAGTCAGGATTAAGAAAACATACATGCTGAGGGTATAGCAAATGTAGATCAGGGATTGAAGTTGATCTTTCCTCAAAGGGGAAGAAGGAGCATGGATATCTGTGACATTGGTCACTGTTTCAATGGCTGTCCTTACTTTTATTCCCAGTGCCTCAAATCTTGGAACTAGAGCTCATTGCATCAACAAGAAACTTCTTTTTCCATTTGGCATGTTGCACAGCATGCTTCTACTGTAGATGTGTATGGTAGCAGTTGGGACTGTGACTGATCACAACCATGCCTTTAAATCTATTCTAAGTTGGAGCTAAAGAGCAATGCCTCTGTGTTTTCCTTAGGTTTAAGAGTTAGCCTAGCCCTTGTGACTTCTTTGTAGAATGAAGACCAAAAACAGCCTATAGGTTCATCTAAACTGAAAGTTTAGTTTTTGGGGGACCAATTAACAGAAACTCCAACTTTACCCTGGGTCAGTATCATTTAATGAGAGAAAAGTGAAAACTAGGTCTCTTTGGATCCAGCTGCTTTCCTTTCAAAACAAAATTGAACATGAACTACCCATGGAAGCCAAGTACGAGGTCCATTTTTTTTGGTCTGATAAATTCCATACCCTGTTTGAAGAGGACCCCTAGTCTCAATAACTCACTGCTATGGTAGGAAAAAGGTAGTTTTGGCAAGAGATGGGCAGGAGATTTCTGGGTCAATGAATTTGCTATTTTTCAGTGAGTTTTCTGGTATGAATTCATTTGAATGATAAAAGTCACATGTTCTTTCAGGCACACTAATCTCTTGAACACTTGTGTAGAAAATCCTCCACTTTCTTTCTTACTCTCCAGATTAGGTAAATTTCTCTTTGGATGGAGGTTCTAATCTATGTCATCAAAGGAGAGAATGTTATGTGACTCAATTATCCTAATGTTTTCTATGATATAGAAGCAGTCTTTTGAAACCATCCCAAAGGTACTCTTGTAAATCACCTTTACTAGCAGGACTAGTTTTTGTAATTCTCACATTCCCCTGCCCTCATCCCCACCCTCACTTTATAACAGGCTGGTGATAGGGGACAGAGTCATACCCCCTTTCCATAAGTGGGCTGGTAGAAAATGTTTGAATGAATAATAATACTTTGGGATTAAAGGAGACTTGAGAATTCTGATGTCCGAAGAGGGAACACATGGATATGGCAACCCCTCTTCTCAGCTAGCCCCCACCCCTGTTCATTCCATCATTCCCAATCTTACTTACACAAAAACTGTGGCAAAGATTTCTACAGCTGGTTTCTGCCAAGGTGACCTGAGACAGATCAATTGTTTCAAAGTGGACAAACTGGAAAAATATAAGAGGGAGAAGGACAAGGGACAATTCAGTTAATGAGGCAAAGAGAACAATAAAAGGTAAATACACACACACAATAGACATTTTGGACAGTAATGATCCAATTATTTATTTTGAGGGCTGGAATTTATTTAACAAAATAATTTTTGTGGCTATGTCATTTCACAAAAATCCAACTAAACCACAACACAATTTGATTGAATGTTTTTGTGGATGTATAGGTAGACAGGTTGGTCAGTTCAAAATTATACAAATCCTGAAGATGATAATGGGATGTGATCTAGCTAAGGACCTAGTAGTATAAAATGTTATTAATTCCTATCTTATTGGACTTTTTGGACCATTTTGCTTGAATCATTTTGAGGCCTGTTATCTTCTTAAACATTAGACATGGTAGATACCATGTATTCAGAAGTAAAAAATCAGTACTCCAATATAGACAGGGATGGTTTCACCAGTATGCAGCCTGTATAGTCACACTAAACCCTACATTCAGAATCATTGTCTACTTGGTTTAATGCACTGCTACTGCTGCCTTAAAATTCTTAAAAATTTTTATCTTTGAGTTTGTGTTTGTGAATGAAGTCTAGACAAGACAGTGAATTATGCATATGGAGGAAAAGAAATATGCGCATATACAGGTCTGTCACATGTCTTGTTGTTGCCTTTATATTTTGATGTCTATAAACATAGAATTCCTGTGGATGCATCATTTGGGGGAATTGAGCAAAATTAAAAAAAGTATAAGGTAAGCTGAGTAAAGAGGGTAACTGACATTCCCGAGAGGGCACACTTTCTGTTGGAATAAGAATTTGCTGCAGGGGCCGGGGAGATGGCTCAGTAGAATAAGTGCTTCCCTGGCAAGTACAAGGCCCTGAGTTCAATCCTGGTTCTGCAAAGAAAGAAAGAAAGAAAAAAAAAGAATTTGCTGCAGACATAGAAAAAAAGGTGGTGATTAATCCCTGGTACCACAAAAAAAAAAAAAAAGTGATGAAATCGCAGGAAATGTGAACAGTTAAGGAGGCTTGCTATAGTATTGCTTGTTACTCACTGATTCCTGTGTTGGCCAATCATTAATCATGCTAGTAGAGTGTGTAAATAGCACACAAATGAAACAAAATAGTTGAGCTAGCTTTGTGCAATTTTGTATACTGATGACAACAAAATGCATATGCATGTATGAACTACTTAATACAAATTATATAATTTTGGTGATTCTTCATAGGCATTAAATGCTTTTATATTTGCATTTAAAACTAGCATAGTATAGTGTACAAATGGATTCATGCTAATTATTTAGAATTTATTCTACCTTTACTTAGAATGACATTAAATGCAAAATTTTAAAATACTATAAATCATTGTTTTACATTGTAGCAAAAATATCTAGCATTATATGTTAGTCCCTTCAGGGTTTTGTATAAGAAATTTTGCATTTTCATTTTGCCCTGGGGACCATATGTAGTTATTTAGTTGGCTCTGGGTGTTAACTGGTATATTTATGAAAGAAAGAGAAATAGAAAAAGTACAGGAGAGATAATTGCCCCCCACATGGCTGAAAGGACAAATTGAAAAGTAAGGGGTATTAATTTCCACCCTAATATTTGCTAACATGTCTTTACCAACTGGCTATCTCCTCCATCCAAACATTTCGTGGTACCCAAGAACTAAACTCCATTGATAAGATTCTATATATTACCGAGGAATGGTGTGCCAAGTAGAGTTGCTGTCCTTGAACCATAAAATATCTAAGCTTCCATCTCTTGAAGGAGTTACAGTTCTTCAGCAGTGGTCCTTCCTTCAGTATTTTCTGAAAGACAGAAACATAATCATTGATTAATTAGATCAGTTTGCAAGACCATACCACTTGTTCAGTCGGGTGGAAAGATATCTCTCACATATCTAAAAAATGGTCCTACTATGTCAGGTAAGTGCCCAAGGAGATTAGTTCAATTAGAAAAGGAACTGGTTTCTCTTGTATAACTCAGGATTATAGAGGCTTCAAGTTTCTTAGGAAACACAACCTAAGACCCATGGAAAGTATCTTCATTTATGGTAGAAGCTGGCAGGAAGAAAGATGAGGATATAAACATAAAAATACAGTGATGGAGCTGGCCAGATAGCTCAGTGGACTAAAACTCCTGCTTAGGCAGAACACAGCATCTGGGGCTCGATCCCTGGCATGCGGTGCCGGCCTCACACCCGGGGTGCGCTGAGACAGCAACTGAGACTGGGCGTGGTGACGCACACCTGTAATCCCAGAGTTAGGGAGGCTGAAAACAGGAGGATCACTATGAGCCAAATCTACATAGTGAGACTCTGTAGACCCTGTAATAAATACATTTTTTTAAAAATGAAAAATACAGTGATACCTCAGCTGTTGAATGGCTCCAAGCTTGAACTTTCCCCTACTGAAATAGCAAAATTTGAAAACAATCTGTTTGTTATTTTTAGCTTTGCTTGATACTCAAACTGAAAATCTGACAAAACCTGTACAGGCAATAGTGAGTTGTGTGCCGTGTTTCTCCACAGACCCAAAGGGTGATGCTTCAGTGTATGTGTTGCTCTCACACAGACAGCATGTAGTATTTGTGTTAGTATGTTAAAACAGTGTGCTTTTCTTGTGTAAAATATCATAATCATGGCTCCAAAGAAAGTAGGTGATACCAGAAGTAAAGTTAAGTGGAAAAATATGAGAACCTCAATACAGTTAAAGAAAGAAATGTTTACAAAATTTGTTAAAGTCCTGGAAAAATAAATTTATAAATGTAATGTTTGGGCCTTCAAACAAAGTATTTGTTTTTCTGTTATTCCTTATTTGAGCAAATATTTTCAGTTCTCAAACTTTTCAGCATTCAAAGATGCAATTTGGAACAAACTGAGTTTGCAACTGAGGTATCACTATAACAGTTGGTAAAGGCAAATTGTCAAATCATTCAGTTGTTGCATTAGATAGGAATGCTGTCAGCTTTTTTAAAGTGACCCTTTTAAAATATGATGTTGGATCATGTCCCCTCCCTACTCACCAGCCTCCAACAACTTCCCAATACAATTAGAGTTAAATATAAATTCCTTACCAGGGTGTTCAGAGGACTCATTTTCTGGTAAGGGAGCAAGCACATAAAAAGACCAGGAAAAGGCAGCTAGCTACATTCTGGTTATTATATCTGTATCTATATCTTTATCTACATCTATATCTCATAGTCTGAACTATGACATTCTCCTTGCTTCCAGAACAGAATGACCTCACCAAGCAACCAAGTATACTTACTGTTTTTACCCCTGAAGGCATTTTCAGTTATGTCATAAGACATAGACTAATATGCAAGATTGCAATTTGGGAAAATACTTATCCCTGTCAAGCTGGAACCAAACTTGGAGTTACTGAACAAAGAAGCAGTTTAAGCCATCAAATTAAGGCTGTGCCATGACTTCTCTTCATCATCTAAATTAGAATTCATTACTGAGTGGCTACGAAGGTGAACTTTTTAATGGTTTGCCTACTGTTTCAATGGTTTTAACTAGTTGATAATATTCAAAATCAGAAAATCGCATTAAATTCAGATTTCTTGTTTCTTTGAAAAAATCAGAACATTTAGCAACATTAGGCTTATATGCTCACAGTGCAACAATCTGTCAGAACTGTGTAGCAGCTGCCCCCTTCAGATCGTAGTTTATTGGTCTATGACTGAAAATACCTAAACAACAGTTTCTTAAGGTGGATATTTTCCAGAAGAGAGTGTAATTGTGTAGATATTTGCCAGTCTGATATATAAAACTTTAAACTGAAAATGGAGAAAAAGGTAAATTTCCTCCCTTGTAAAATGAACGAAGACAGGGGACATCATATAGGACAAAATAAGAATACTGAAGGAAGTATTTATTAACTGACAGAATTTGGGTCTTGTGGCACACCCTAACCCTAACCCTAATTCCCAGCACTTTGGAGGCTGAGGCACAAGTGAATTTGAGGGCAGCCTGGGCTACAAAACAAGTTCAAAGAAAGCCTGAGCCATTGAGAGACCCTAAATTTAAAATGACAGAACTGGTGGTCAGGCAAGGTGGTATGTTCCTGTAGAGCCAGCTACTCAGGAAGCTGAGTCAGGAGGATCTCTTGAGCCCATTAGTTAGAGGCCATCCTAAGCAATACAGCCGCACTCCCAATAAAATGATAGAAAGCTCAATAATTTAGATATGAGGCAGAAATAATGGGTGTGGATTTAACTCCACAGAGAGAAATGTTGAATTAAACTTTTGAATTTAAATTTTAAGAGAAAGAGATTAATATGACTCCCTAGGTATCATGAAGACAGTGTGGTTGAGGTGATGAGAGAGGTGAGAAGATTAGGATAGTGAAAATCAAATGCCAACATTAGGGGTGTATGTTATGGGCCACCTGATCAGAGAAGGAAAAAGAGCCATATATTCTTAATGATTAAACAAAAGTTGTTTTCTCATTGATGAATCAATTTCAGCAATTTGCAGCAGGTTTATTCACAATTGTCAATCAAAGTTTTTTTTTGAGATTTGTACTTAGCAACTAAGTTAAATTAAAAGAAATCTTCTGACTGCAAAATGACACATATTTCCAGGCCCTGTTGGCTCCCAAGCATTCAATTTGTAACTTCTGAACTGTAACTACTTTCATATCAGAGGCACTTGTAGTGTGTAAGTTCAGAGCCCTGTACATGTACGTGTGTTCAGACCCTTGTACATCTATTACCAAATTGTGAGAAGAAGAATGTTGATGTGCTCTCTCTCTGTGTACAGTAAGAAGAAGGGCTTACCATAGTAAGTATGTCATAAGTTCATTTTTTTGGTCATTTTTGTGACAGGATCTCACTATGTAGTTCAGGCTGGCCTTGAGCTCATAGTGATCCTCCTATGATCCTCTTTATTGACTTGAAGAACACATTGATGTTCTTCAAGTCAATAAAGTAAATGCTTGCAGAACCACCTCTACCTGCTTGGGGGCTACAAAACAGAATAAGTGCCTGAGAGAAAAACTGGAAGAAAGAAGCAAAAACAGCCTGTGAAGAAATGCACTAGAGGTAAGCCCTTTCCCCTTCTTCTTCAGTCCCTGCCTCTTTTTTTTTATTTTTTTTTTAAATTTTTTTCTCCGAATGCCTCCAGGGCAGGTTTGGCTGGCTGGAGTGTTGTGGGGATTGAACTACAGCAACCTGAGGCTGACAGCTTTGTGGAAGCAGCCACTTAAAGAACCGAGCTAGAGCCAGGCCCCCAGTCCCTGCCTCTTATAGAAAACATCTTGCTGCCCCTTCAGCAACCAAGTGGAGCTCAGCCCCAATTTCCAGATGGGGAATCTGAGGTGGCACATTTTCTGCTACTTTGGTCAAAGACCCATAATTATAAAATGCTATTGAACTCTATGATTTCTCTTCCCATGACAAGGATACTGAGATTGCCTGGTTAATTGGTTTGTCCAGAACTGAATGAGCACACAATCTACCCAACACCCAACCAAATTTTCTTAGAAAATAGAAAGCTAATAATTAGAAAATGTTCTGTGATTTGTTCCCTGGCCTGTATGAACTAAGTAGCTTTGCTCTGCCTTATCTTTTTGCCATTATGTTTCTGCATTGGAGCCAGATGATCATGGACTAAATGCTCTAAAACCACGAGCCAAATAAACCTTTCTTCCTTTAAATTATGAGTGTTAATTGTTCACAAACAGGAAAGGTCCAAAAAGGGAGCTAAATTGAATATATATATATATATATATCATATATGTATCATATATGTATCATATATGTATCATATATATATGATACATATATATAGTTTTGTTTTTGATTTTTGAAAAAATAGTATATTTAAAGACTTTAAGTATTTTTAATTTAATTTTACTACAGGGAAATTATCTTTTGTGATAGGTACTGAAATATTTTCTTAGCTTGGCATCCATTTTATTTTACTTTGGCTAGGTATTTTATTTAATTAATTAATTTATTTATTTTTGCGGAACTGGGGATTGAACTCAGGCCCTTGTGCTTGCCAGGGAAACACTTATTCCACTGAGCCATCTCCCCGGCCCCATGGTTAGGCATTTTAAACAGGCATAATTTGAAGTATTTTGCATAGCCATTTTTCAGTTTTTACTGCTCTCTGTGTTTTGATATTTGTAAAGATTTCTCCAATCAGAAACAAAATAAATCCTTCTATGCATTCCTCAAAAAAACGGAGCTAAAACTTTAATTATTGGAAATGTTCTCAAAATATTAATAGTCAGTAATTAATGTTTAGTGAATATTTATGCCTGCCAGGCAAAATAAAGTTCTTAATCTATGTCTGCATAAGCTTTGATTCCTTGAATGGTGCCAGAGGAACCAGATATAAACCCTATATTATAAATCTATGGTTCACTGAGAAATGTGTTTATTAATCCCTTGCACAGTTACAAAGCCAATCAAGTTGACATCTATCTCAACTGTAATATCTTCCAATTTGGTACCCCATACCAGCTCCTTAAGCCATAATAGCTCTGTATATACACACAAGATTATAATTTTTACTAACATGACACAACAATCCTGCATACAACCAAAATGCAATAATCATTTCCACAAAATCTCAGAAGTTCCAGTCCTGCCAATAGCCAACTCCAAGTTTTCTCTGAGACTCAAGATAAACTTAGATGTAAATCCCTGTAAATATTAAAAGCAAGTTAAATAATCCCAAGGCACAATGCCACAGAGTAAACATTCCTATCTCAAGAAGGAGAAATAGGGGGAAAAGGAAAATGTTCTGGAAACCAGCCTGAATACTCAGTATTAAGGATGTCAATTTGGGGCT